TTTTTTTTTTTTTTTTTTTTTTTTTTTACTTCAAAGTAAATAATTACAATCATCATGTCCTAATGTTTCCTAAAAATAACACCCAAAGGGAGTGTGTTTTACACTAAAAACTAGTGGTCCGAGCACTGAACCCTGGGAAACTGAACATAACACGAGCAAAATAAGATCAAATTTACATAAATCATTTAACCGCTACATTTTAATTAATACATTTCTTTACAAAATGGTAGTCTGTGCACTGTAATCTTGGGAAATAAAGTAGTGTTGTGTAAAATCAGAATGAAAACAATGGACAATTGACAGTCAAAAGTTGAAGAGCCTCTTCACTGCATTTATTTTTAATTGATTATAAATTCAAAGCATTAGTTTAGAAAATCCCAGAAGGACCGGCCCTTCACTGTAAATTTTCTTGGGTATCATCCCACACTCTGAAAATCTGATGTAGACTTTGGTTTGGTTTTGTAGTTCCCAGGTGAACGTATGTGAACTGCGCTGTTGAAAAGAAGCGTATAAAGAGCTTGCACATTAGATTGCAAGCTCTAAAATCCATACGGGTTTCATTTCAACACAGCATGACTATGGACACATGCTGTAAATCCTTCTGGGCCTGTAAACAAGCCAACTCTCATTGGTATTCCTGGGTGCTACTGCAAAGCGAAAAGGCATCGATGAGCCATGATACACGTGGCCTTGCTGTGTGACTTGGGGCTGCACTGCAACACGATTTACTGTGTGCAGTTCTCAGGATTCGGACCTGCTCGTCTTTCACAGCAACAGCGTCGAGAGATTTTATGGTTGTTGAACACCAATATTTCATGCATGTTTTCTTGTTGTATTAGTGGCACAAACAAATGAACTAGCTGGCTGACAGCTGCATTGTCGTTAGCGCCCAAGTGTTAACGACGGATACAGAACTGGGAAGGCCAAATACGAGGCCTAGAGAGGAAGCTAAAGCGCTAACAGGAGTGAAAAGGGCATGATGGGAAAGTGGGGGCAGAAGGTGCAAGGGGGGAGGTTTCTAATTGACGGTGTTATGGCAGTGTAACAAGCTGGCATGGCCATTTGTTTTCTTTTTGCCTCCTCCATCCATCTGTTCGTCAGGATTACTCATGAACAGGAGGAGAGAGAAAGAGAAAGAGAAAGCTGGGGCTCCACAGAACAGAGATTCGCCATCACTCCGAGCGATACCTGAAAGCGAACCACTTCTCTGTGACTTCTACGCACTAGAACAAACTCCTGTGAAAATACAGAAGTGTGTAAGTTGTGGCTCAGTACGAGCGAGTGTCCTCATGAGACTGTTCAGAAAAACAACGATGGTAATTAAACATGGAAACGTAACAATGGCGTGTTATGCAATACTGTCGGCCAGCATGCTCGACTTACTAAACTATTGCTCCCTGCCGGCAGACTGGTTTAATGGGGTTTACACACGGTCGATGCAGCATACGATTTTATATGCGTTTCCATTCAGCATGTCTTACCAAGGTATTGTTAGAGAGAACTTGAAACTAATAGATATTGGATTGTTGTGATGTGCGTTTGTGAAATGAGTGTGTGCAGCGTGGTCAGCAGCAGGAGAGCAGCAGGTGACACCAGGACATGCGGCTCGGATTTTTTCCAGTCATATTCAAACTGTGTTCAAACACGTGCTCGTGTTCCCTCACCTCTCAGGCAAATTTATGTTTTGCATCCATGTCGTTTAATAGAAGCGAAAGCTTTCGGCTGGTCTTACTTCGACTGCATTCCGAAAAGCTAATACTTATTACCAGTCTAAAAATAAATAAATAATAACGTCTATAATAAATTCTGTCAAACTTTTTTTTTTCCCCTTCACAAAAAAGAAGTTTGTTCACCTTTATTTTGTGAGTGGTTTTTCTTTCTTTCTTTTTTTCTAACAGTCACCTTCTGCAGTTTGCAGAGGTAAAATTGCAGATGCTATAAATCACTACTCAGCACTTTCCAGCTGAACTTCTGTATTTGAAATACAGCAACTTCAAAAAATAAAAAATAAAAAGGCAGTACAGCTGCCAGAAGGTCTTCATGAGATCTGCACCTTTCTAACTCTAAGCTCAACCATTCAGAAACAGATGCTACAATAATCTAATGTCAACAGACTGTACGCTTTCACAGTGAAATACAATCATCATAAAGATGCCAAACAAAACAGAGCACCAATAAAAAAAAGAAAATATATGTAAGAAGGTATGGCACTAACGCTACTACGACTTGACTGGATATCTAAAACAGCATATCCAGTAGATTGATATACCCAGAACGTCTCAAAACGTCACACATCCCTCGGGACAAATGAACCTGAGTTGCTTTTATGTATTTCTAGTCAACTAACCAAAAATAGTAGACGGTGATCTTTGTCTCACCTGTTTGGAGTTAATCCCAGCAGTTTGCTGTAATGTTGTGTCAGGCCTGCAAACACAGATGAAGAAAGATGTAGTGAGACTTGTTTTTTTAGCCCCAGTAAAAATAAATAAATAAATAAAAAATCTGTTGGTTGGAAAGACATTAATGAGGCTCTAAGAAACAAAATTACACTGAAAAAAATATATAACAAGGGAGGTACCAATAAATCTTGACTCTGATAAGTATCCAGAACTCCTTCTAGGTTAAGGATTCGTCCTTCAGAGCCAGGTTATAAATATTGAGGATGGATTTTTTTTTAATTTTTTTTTTTTATTGGAGTTATGACATTCATGAACAAACCAGATCTACTGGAAGCCATTTTAATGCGAACAATGGAAAATGAGTTGTTGTTTTCTCTTCTTTTATGCGCCACTGAGAGAGACAGAGAACAAGCACAAGGGGAGGACCGTTTCACGTTTTTATCCGTGATGCAGATTTCGCACAATGATCCAAGATGGCCGCACTGTTTTTGGAATGGTAGCTTTGTGCGCCATCATGCAACAATCTAATGGGGACGGCAGCATATATATTTAAATTGAAAGGCAGGAAAAGGCTAAATGAAAAAAAAATGAGCCAGCACTTTTTAACAGGTACCAATAAACAACATCTGACTTTCTTCACAGAGTTGTCTACATCGTGCCATTTGTATTATTATTTACACATTTTCTGATAGAATTTAAGATAGCCAATCAACATAATAATAGAAAAATGGATTAAAACTAGTCATCAAAGCAAACAGATTAATTCTTTCACCTTCTCTTGACCAGAAGCTGTTGAATAATATGTTTGCATCTCCCTCCCTCCCCAGAGAATACTCAGTAAATTACTATATCTTGCTGAATACATGGCCTTTAATCAACCACAATGTCCCTCTGTCACTTTTATTATTTCCACCTCCGTCAGGGCGAATACTAACATAAAATCCACCCAAACCGAACACACGCACATGCATAATGCCCCCTCCACCTCCAACAAAGAGGCTGCCCTTCGTGACCACAAATGCATTATCATAATCTCCAGAGGGACCCTTCATTCATCTCACATTAGCAAAAAGATACAAAAAAAATAATAATAATAATAAAAAAAAAAAACGTGCTCAGTTGGACGTGGAGCTTTAAAACTTGAGCTGATGAGACTGAATCATCTTTCAAAAAACAAACAAAAAAGTAAAATAGAACTCAAATAACATTTTTATTGGTTCATCTTCCTGGTAAAGGTTTACAGCATGTGTTAGCAACAGATCCGAATGATCTGAATTACAACAGCCAGAACCGATTAAGCTCTGTGCTCTCGACTGATCTGCTTTGAACTTGGACTGCATTGATCTTATCTGAGCAGAACTGAAGCAAGCCGAGCCGAAACAAGAGAGGACAAAGATAAGGATAAGGGAGAAGAGTGGGGTGAGGGGGAAAAAAAAAAAAAAGTGTGAGATCCTAATGAATAGAGACAGAAGCGCACAGAGACATCAGAAAACTGCAGCTAGAGGCAATCGCCGGGATCGTGGGAGAAAGACTTAGCTCGAGACGGACAGAAAAGGGTAGAGGAGGAACAAACATAAAAAATGAAGAGCAAGCGAGGTTCGGAAACATGCATTATTAAGGAGCAAATCTAAAAGCGCTTCATCATCAGAGTGCAGGAGGGAGGGAAAGGCGGGGAGGGCTGCGGGAGGCAGACTCAAAGATGAAATGCGACACAAGAGAAAAGCTGGGAAATGGCAGAAAAACCAAGCAAAGCTGACCTAATATGTAAACACGATGAGCAAAAAAGGTTTTAATCTACGCCACATAGTGAGCTTTAAAGGTTCTTCTATGAGGTTATGTAAGGCTAATGCATCTCTGTTGCAAACTTAAAAATATCACTTTTTTTTTAACAAATAGCAGCTGCAGATGAAGACCTATTGATCTGTTATGACTAATCCTAATGAAGACAACTGGCTGCTGTTCAAACAGCGCATCAGAATAAGGAAGGAATGCAGCGTAATTGACTTTGAAGGCGGCATTGAGTGTTGTTGCCAGTCAGGCTTGTTGAGTACTTCAGAGACTGTTGACTTACAGGGATTTCCTGTGCAAGCATAATGGTGTAAAAAAAAAAAAAGAAGGAGAAAATATCCAATGTAGTGTGAAGGTAGGATCAAATTGGGGTTTGTTGGTGTCAGAGAAGATTGGACAGACTAGTTCAGGAAGACAAAAAAGGCATTTGCAAATCAAATACCGGTCACCACAATCAAAGCATGTGGTACACAGTCACATAATAGATTGAAGAAGTTGGTCTATAGTAGCAGAAACAGGCTGCAATTGAACAGTACTGGACAATAACAGAATTAAAATGTCTTGATGTCAACTGCGACATCAAGCTTATATTGTCAGATGAATCAGACCTGCTTTGCATCAACAGTTCATTCTAGAAGTGTTCATGAAATGGTATAGGAGATGCACCTTTGGGCTTAAACCCCGCCGTCAATCAAACCATCATTTTTGAGCGTTACTACAATCCTATCAAAATCAAGTAGCGTTTGACTCCTCAGCTTATTTGATTTTGCTGTGTTACACCATAAACCCAGTTTGTTTGAGCCAACTCAAAAGTGGAAAGTATTTAACTATTATTTGACTGTGCACCGTTTTCAGTAAAGCTTCTCAAATGCATTCATCTCCAGAAACATTTAAGCAAAAAAAAAATCAAAAAAAAAAAAATCAACAACAGTCAACTAGAATATCTCTGTTGCAAATTATTTGAAACATAAGCTCGGGAGACGAAGGGAGGTGGTTCCGCACCAACAGAACCGGGTCAACAACATGGGCAACAAAGGTGAAGATGTAGCGTACCGCATGGCCCGATGCCAGTACCGATGATTTAGCCTGTAGCCGTTTCAGTTAGTTCCCTGATCTTATGGCTCCACTGGGAGTAAAGCACCAGGTGTCTGATTTCTTTCCGCCGTGACAGAATATAAGCGACCCCAAGCATGAAGTGTGTCCCATAATGCCTTGGGGTAGAAGCCTCCGCCATGAGAAGACAGAAGCACCTGCCTGAAAAAGCACATCTAACTGATGCTCTTACTGTCTATCCCTTAAATCTTTCATATGATCTTAGAAACATTTACTTAAAATCTACATAATCTCCAGACAGTGCAGCTATTTAACTCTAGGCAACTTTAATCTGGATCAAGAAAAATGTGTTTTAATTTGTCTAACACTTCAAGGACACCTATGTGATGTGTTTACAGTGCTTTGTGGGGAGTTTATTTCGTTTTTAGCCTTCTCCCAGTTTTCTTTTTTAGCACTTGCACTTCTGGCTCCAGCCCTTGAATGGCTGGATTGCAAATTGATACCTATAAAAATAAATAGGCCTTTACTGTCTGTCTGAAGTCACTATTGGCTAAGCTGGTAGGAGAATTTGCATAAGTTGCGCATTTCTGTTTGTCATTTTTGAAAACTGGAACCTTACAGCTCAACACAGCGCAAGCGAGCGCCATCTGTCCGAGCGCCGAACGTCTTGGCATCGCTTAAAGAGCCCAGGCTGCCACCAAATCAGCCCGAGTCTCACTGGAGAGCCACACATCAGCTGATCCGGAGTGCAAACAGCAGGAAACATAAGAAATACCGGGCTGTTTCTTTTACATAAAGACGTACTAATGTGATATTTGCGACTGCTTGCTAGTTTCAAGGCACAGTATAATGTAAAAAAAAAAAAAAAAAGAGTTTTCACAGCAGGGTGGGCAGCAGAACACAGAGGTGAAATCCTGGCTGCCAGTAAGACTCCGAATGTTGTTTGGTTCGACTTCAGACATGCCATCTGTCCGGGAAGAGGCTCTGGTGAGGGGGCTTGGTCATTCATTATTCTGTGTGTCTACTCTGTGCCTATAAACATCTGGCTACGTGCTTCTCCAGTTACACAAAATGACAAATGATCTCTTTTAAGACGGCAGCCATGCCGGCGTTATTGCAGATTTAGATAGATTGGTCCCTCAGGCACAGGGAATCATGATTGTTGCGCTTTGGACGGCGATTCGGCATGCGAAACGAAAATGCAAAAGCAGACAACAATGTGTGCAACAGTAACGGCTGGCTGTAAAACAACGTTTAAATGGCCAATGAAATTCAATATGAGAGGTTTTGATTTGAACAGCTTGTGACAGAATACAAGGCTGGGACAATGAAGCGCTGTAATTTAATTACGCTTTCAAAATACATTAAATGTAGATAATATTCCTTTCTCACCAACAATTGTTACAATTATCCAGTACTTTTAGATAGCCGTTATAACCCCAACAGTTTATCAGTATTTACTGCAAAGCATCTATGGCATATGAAGAATGTAGGGGCAATATTTAGTCGGTTATGTATGAAAAATGTCTTGTGAAACTGAAATAAGTTTCCTGATATTTCATTAGGAAAGTTGGCAAGAAACAGAATGTGGAGGATGTTGCAGTGCAAGATATTTACACAGCGGGTTTTACTTTGAGTTTATTCAGATAAAATCTGTTCAGACTAATCTTTCATGGTAGCATGTCTAGAAGCTGAAGCTATGTGTTAAAGGTTAGAGATAGCAGTCAAAAAAAAAAAGAGGAAAAAAGCATGGACGGTTTTTAAGCCGAGAAGGCTTAAAAGAGTATTTTTACTTTGTTTATTGGTTATGACATGCTAAAAGTTGTTACAACTATATTTTGCTTTCAAGTGTTGAATTGGACTTAAAATTAACAAATAAAAAAAGGACTGTCATGTGCTAAATTTAAAATACTTACACAATTATTATCTCTATGACAATCACACTGGTGAAACTTACAGTATAAAATAGCAGAAATCAGAGTCTGCAGATGCAGTTGAGCTGAAAAATACCACAAACAAAGTTCTGGCCCTTTAAGACTCAGTGAAAAAGTTCAAAACTCATCCTGTCTGTTACTGTACGTGTTCACACGCATGTGCGTTTCACACGGAGAAACACGGGGTAGACTGGTTGTCATAACTACGCTGTCTTTTTTAAAAATTATTTCAACAGTCTGGGAGAATCCT